GATTACTTCGGATGATGACTCTAATTCTCTGCTCGTTGCTTTGGCATGCATGTGATTGTTTCATTGCTAGTGACTTGCCTTGAGCATGATTTGACTCTACTGATTAACCATTGTGCATGATTTGATGATGTCCAGAAAAGGAATACGATTATGATCTAATTTGTGAGCGATAAGTCATAGCCTTGAATAGGCTAGATAAATATGATTTGAAATTAATATGATACCTTGGTAACTAGCGTGTGACAAAGGATATTCACATTGATACGATTTTGGAGATAAGTCTAGCAATATACCATTTGTGGAAACTTCTAAGGATAATTGATATGCCCTTAGTGTTGGAGATGTGTGTAGACTATTTGACTGCACTAATAGTGCAATATTTGCATATGTTTATATATATATATATATTTAATTTATTTACACCCCTCACTGAGTATTAGATGACTCATTTATTGTTTGTATCATGTGTAGATAAACAAGCCACAAGACTGTGTGACAAGGGTCGTCTAGTGACAAACCAATTTTGGCATCTGGTAAGTCCTCGCTCAACAAATCCACTCCTTTGAATCTATCATAAGCTTCCGCTCTACATTTAGTTAGTTTGATGTGTATGTAGGCACTTTGAACTTGTGTAAGGGTTGTTAAGTACAAACCTAATTTGATGTCCAATGTATGGCCTTATGAATATTATGTATGGATTACATGCCAAGTGGCAAGTTCAATGTATTTAAATTTAAATATTATATGAAATTATGGAATTTGAAAAACCCTTGTCTATGTATGTTTGGTTTTGAATTTTGAGGCTTGCTTGGGTCTCGTGGCCTTTATCTACTGGACTTGTGCGTCGGTCACAAACTCCTGGATTGGGTCATGACAATACTACCATGACCATAAACAAACAACATTCAATTTTGATGGCTTGTTTTTAATAGATTGTTTGACAACTTGATAAACTTGTAGTTGTTCTGGGTTAAGGTTCACCAAACACTGCAAATGTTGCTATTGCAATTCCCATAAAATTGTAGTTGATTTCTTCATGAATCAGTCTATTCTACATTGTGTACATAAAATCTTCTGTCGATATTGATGGATTGAACTCTAAAAGTGAATTGCAATTTTTGTTGAAAAATTGCTTTGGAGCAACCAAAGTATAGTTCTTGAGCTCATTGTCTAGAATTTGATAATGAGTAACACTGAAAGCCTGCCTTAATCTATACTTAATGTCTTCATTGAGAACTTTCCAATTGTTTTCCCACCGTGATAATGGATTAGCAACTGCACAGAACATAACAATTGTGACAAACAATTATTGTAATTGTTCACTTGTTATCCACTCTGAAGCTTGCAAAATTATATTTGTCCATTCTCGATCATCTCTTAACAAACCTAGTACTTGACATGCTGCTTGGAATGTAGTGTATATTACACCTTCAATTATACTTATTTCTTTAAAAGTTCTTGAACCTCTCACAACATTCAATAATAATCTCATAAAATAAAGCTTGTTTGTTACTGGATTAATATATGTAATTCTTCCTATTGACTTACTTCTTTTTAGTTTCTTCCAAGTTGACTAGAACTTTGACCAAACCCATTTTATTATGAAGTCAGCATAGAACAATTCTCTTGTCTTTACATAGACCTAGTTCGTGTACATCTATTATATTAACATTGTTTTCCTCACATCAGGTCTCTAGATCACTTTAGACAAATCATCATTACCATTGAAGGATACACTCTACTCTTTCAATATATGGATAACCAATCTGTCAACTATTGGTTAATGATAATGAATGTCAATTGCAAAAATCCTTTAATAAGATTCATATGTCAATAAATATATACAATTCAAATGCACTTTAATTTCATCAAAATCATTTCTAATATTTTGTTCTTTTGCATTATTATTGATACTATTACTCACAATTACAGCTCTAACTCTATCGGTCCTTTGTTAATGCACTTGAATAAATATTTGATAGCTTTTGATTGATTGCAAAGTTCAACATTAACATGAGCTTGATATTTCATAACTAAATCAACATTATAAGCTACAGCAAATCTGTTGTCTAATTCCACACCATTCTTAACAACAAGACATAGTTATTTGTTAGCTGCCTTATTTTATAAATAGTAAACCATCCCCATTAACTATTGTTTCCAATTGATACTATTTCGAAAATATCAAAATCTCTTGACTAGCTCTCCAAAAATTAACCATTTGTCTCTTTCACCATTCTCTTCATCTTCCTTACAAATCAACTATTTAATTAAGAGAACCCAAAGAAGAAAGCAAAGTAGTAGAACAAAAGCAGCAGCTTTCCAGCAAACCTACAAAACCAATGAAAAGACAAAAGGAATACAAACCAAAGAAAGGGAAACACCACAAACAAAAATATATAGTATCTCTCTCCCTACTAGCAAAAACCCTAAATGCAAAAATGACGTTGTTTCAGATGAAATGGTAGGAAAAAAAATGCAATACAATCAAAATGACATCATTCTGATAAACAAAAAAAAACCTCCAAGCCTCGCAATTAAATGAAAATTGTCATTATTGGCCAATTGAAGTCAATTGAAACAGTAGCTTCGAGACCTACTTAAATATATAATAATAAATATCATTTATGTATGTTTTTTATTTAAACAAAACTTCTTAAAAAAATAGTTGACTTGAAAGTAATGAAGTTTGTCAAAACTTCTTCAC